ACTTTTTCTACTTAAAATTAAATAAAATTTTTAGGCTAATATAGAAACTCTAATGATTTAAGAAGTAAGCTTGAGACCACTAGGAGTCTGCATAATCATATTAATTTACTTCTATTCTTTTTTAGACACATCCTCGCCTACGCATTCTGACATACTACCTAGCCTTTGAGGGTGGAGATCTATCAAGGGGATGTTGTGTAATATCTAGGGAAAAGTATTTTTAAACATTTTTAAAACCACTTCATATATATTTTATGCATTTAATCGAGTCGATCAGCGTGCATGTCATTAGAAAGTAATTTAAAAAGTCTAAAATTTTAATTGGATTTCTCTTTAGGCATTTTCACCCCACATAAGTCAAGGGACTAATTAGGAACCACTCTAGACATCGGTCTCAATTCTTAAAAACTTTAATTACAACGTTCCTACCACTCTTTTATAAAATGATTGGACTAATAGATTTTAATTTTGACTAGGTAGTTAGCTGGCTCCCCAATCTAGGCCTGCTAAATCCAAATTTTGTATTGCATTAGCTAGTTCGGATTACTGTGGTCTAGTGCCCAATTTAGATTTAAGATTCGTGGTAGATTTTGAATCATAAGATCCAAACCTCCTGGAATATAGTCTTAAATTTTTAATAATATGATCAACTCAAATTAAAAAGAATTATCTCAATCTAAAATTTAAAGTCCAACACTTATATTAGGTTTGGACAATTCTAAATTGTTTCAGAATCTCAAAGTGCCTCCTACCCCTCCTCATTTGACATTGGAAATAAGTGTTCAAAACTCGATCCAAACTACACTTTGGCCTTTTTGTGCCATATGCCATTCTTTCTTAAATCTGGTTATGATATTCGAGATGAAATTTGCAATTCTAAATTTGGACCCCATTTTGAAATTTTATTTCTACCTCTTAAAGTGGTATACCTTTTCTAATGAGATGTTTGATTTCAGAATTTAAATTAAAATTCATTTTCAAATTCCTCAAAGAAGATTTATCTTTTCAAAAACCTCTTTTCAATTTCAACCCAAACAAAGAACAACCAAGAATTAGTCATCGAATTAAATAAATTCTATTGGGAGTTTGATTCGATTTAGCCCTTAAAATTACTTTGACTTGTAATTTGTGGTTTCATCAGATGATCTTTATCTGTGAGCCCCAAGCAGTATCAAAAGATTATTGAATTAACCCATGGTCTGTGTTTTTAAATTGGAATAATAACGAGTCAATAACTCCAATAATATAATTTGTTTGAGTTAATCCAAGACTCACCTGTGTTGACTTCAAACCCAAATATATGCTAAAGATTCTCCATAAAGTGAGCTATTTTCCGAATCAAAACTTGAGCTAACTCATGAGCCTCTTGTTGGAGAAATTATTACATCCAGTCAAAAACCGAACGGTCCGAATGTATACCGTGCAATACCGACTCCAAAATACCGAGTTTTAGGTGACGTGGCACGTGATTATTGGTATCTGAACGCATTCGGACACCGGATGTAATAATTGCTGCTTTTATTGAGATAACATGTGAATATGATCTATAATTCTCTATTGCGTAGTTTAATCACCTAAAAGACGAGGGATCAATACTAGAAGGCACCTTCGAGTTCAGTGTCCAACAAAGCCATTGTTTTAACACTAAGCCAACTTCATCCAAATCTAAGGGGTGTCTAATAAGATAACTTATGATTGTTAATCAAATTTCCTAATAGTATATATTTAGACTTTTGCTCATCAATATTTTAATTTATTACGTGTGATCATTATATGTGTTTCAGAGTTTAACCGAGATATGACAAGTCATCAATTTAGATATGTATCAAATGATTTGATGCATTTTGATTGAAGACCAAATATTCCGGTGAGTCCCAAGCTTCCTCGTGCTTGGAGATAATTGCGTCATCTCCTGAGCAGCTGACAACTTGCGACGACAAAACTTAATTTAGCGCCTTTATCCTTTGTCTCCATACTCTCAGTCGTTGTTCTCTCGAGTCAGCTGAGGCAAGACTTCTGAACCCACCTCTGGGCGTTTCCTGATCCGATAACTTTTAACTTTTAAGTTTAGTTTGTTTTCGTCAACTTGTTGGTATATACTTGATTGTTTCGGGTGAGAAGAAGCTTGCCTTTCTTCCGAGCATCTCCATTTCTGAGAACCCGAAGGCCCAGGTTAATCTCTTGAGCCAGTGAAAAATGGTCTTTTTTTAATAGATTATGCATACTCCGTGCTTTCATCTGTGAAACTTCCATTATTTTGCATTTCTTGCTTCTTTTAGTTCGGTGTTTTGTGGACATCGTGATATTATATTAGGCAGCTGAGGTGCATGGAGTTGTAAGCAGTCGCGGTCATGAAAAAGTTGCTGTTTTTTTTTACCTCAAAACGAGCTCTTGAGTTTTATTGATTATTTTTTTTTTTACCTCAAATTCGTATTTCACCCCGTTTTCCCCATTTTTGCCATAATTCCTGAGTTTGGAAGATTTAAAACGCGATTTTGCGGCATAGTTTCCGACTGTTCGCTGTCTCTATACCGAGCGACAGCGAGGTAGCTTCGTCCCATACCTTACTGCCGATCTCCCGCTGCTATAACATTTCTTCTGCGTTCGGACAAATCCATTGATGTAGTTATTAATGCTTCCATTTATAACACTCAATGAGATAAATAGAGAACTGGGATGCATAAAGTCAAATCCAAGTAGTTAGGTTAATTCTAATGATGATGATGGCTATGTGATTCCATTGATGCACTATCCTCCTATCTGAGCTTGTTAAATCCTTACCATTTTTAAGGCCAGACTGAGATAGCTTGCCAAAACCTTTCCTTTTCTTTTTAGTAAGTTTGCCTAGTAAAAGTAATCGCTAGTATTGCTGCAATCAAGCAGGAATACTGCAAGCAAATCAAACACTTTTTTTTTAAACTTCTAATGAATTTATGCTACAATCAAAAACTAAGGCTTCGTTTGGGACGTCTTTTTTACTGTTTCTTAAAACAATTTTTTACTACAAAAGTTGAAATTTTTGTACTTGAAAGGTGCTTTAAGAAGCAGCAAAAAAGCCGTCCCAAATGAAGCCTAGGAATGTTGTAGTTGATTGATGAAATCAGTACTATATCCACTAATCAGAATGTGCTCATAATTTATGGGGAGAAAAAAGAAAGAGATGATAAACCCTTACTATTAGTTAAGTATGTAAATATTAGGCTTTTTAGTAAGTGCTTAAACTTATGAACTCCAAAACCAAGTTATGAGTTATCGTATATTGGCGTATTTGAAAAAAATTGATTGTAACTTGGTCTGTGTTACAATGAGATTTTCCATTGCATGAAGGATTAACGTCTGCTTATGGTGAAGAATAATTAATTATATGATTTGTTCATGTTGGCATCATTTAATTGAGTTTTCAATACCCCGACGTGAACAATTATAAAATGATTAAACATTTGTGTCACTTTTTGCCAAAAAATAAATAGCAATATATCCTTGAGGTATTAAATTCAAAAGCAAGAAGTTAATTTTTGGGGGCAGATGAGTTACCAAAAGTTAACTTTATTCTAGAAGAGGAAGTTGAAGATCAAGCTACTACAGTTCCATTAAGCCCTAGTAAATGATCAAGTAATGATGACGACATGATAACTCGATGCAATAGCGAAAAGGCATACAAGGATATGTTGAACAACTTATTGAATCAACTTGATGATAAAGTTGAAAAAACTATAGAAAACATTTATAAAATATGCCCATTTACTATAATAGAACGGCTCGCTAAGCTCGGGAGCAAGGCAATTATTGTGGTACATGAAGCTCTGAGTGAAAACAATGAGAACATGATAACATTGATGACTTGTGATGGTTTACTGATCTATACATGGATTGAGTACATTCTAACTCTTCATTCTAAGTTTTGTGCTTGTACAGCACTAGGTATTTGCTCGATACAACTGGGTATTATTTGATAATAATGAGGAATACTGTTCTCTGAAGACCAATACTGAGTTATACCGAGCTGTACTAAGAAATACCGAGTTGTACCCAGTTGGGAAAAACTCGGTACAACTTTGGTATAACTCGGTATTTGCTCGGTAAAGCCCGGTATAACTCGGTATTTGCTCGATAAAGCCCGGTATAACTCGGTATTGGGTCTTCAAATGATGGTATTCTTCGTTATTGTTTGGTATTGCTCGGTACAACTCTTTTTTTGGCTAGAATTTGCCTCCGACCGGACGTTCGTCTACGTCCGGTCGGAGGACGTAATAATATGTGAGTTTAAATTGTAATAATAATGAGTCAATAACTCCAATAATACAGTTTGTTTGTGTTAATCCAAGACTCACCTGTGTTGTCTTCAAACCCAAATATATGCTAAAGATTCTCCATAAAGTGAGCTATTTTCCGAATCAAAACTTGAGCTAACTCATGAGCCTCTTGTTGGAGAAATTATTACATCCAGTCAAAAACCGAACGATCCGAATGTATACCGAGCAATACCGAGTCCAAAATACCGAGTTTTAGGTGACGTGGCACGTGATTATTGGTATATGAACGCATTCGGACACCGGATGTAATAATTGCTGCTTTTATTGAGATAACATGTGAATATGATCTATAATTCTCTATTGCGTAGTTTAATCACTTAAAAGACGAGGGATCAATACTAGAAGGCACCTTCCAGTTCAACAAAACCATTGCTTTAACACTAAGCCTACTTCATGCAAATCTAAGGGGTATCTAATAAGACAACTTATGATTGTTAATCAAATTCTCTAATGATATATATTTAGGCTTTTGCTCATCAATATTTTAATTTATTACGTATGATCAGATATCTTTCAGAGTTTAATCAAGATACGGCAAGTCATCAATTTAGACATGTATCGAATGATTTGATGCATTTTGATTGAAGATCAAATATTCCGGTGAGGTAATAATTGCTCTTTATCGCAAGCTTCCTCGTGCTTGGAGATAATTGCGTCATCTCCTGAGCAGCTGACAACTTGCGACGACAAAACTTAATTGAAAGCTTAGCGCCTTTATCCTTTGTCTCCATACTCTCAGTCGTTCTGAACCCACCTCCGGGCGTCCTGATCCGATAACTTTTTAGTTTTTTTTCGTCAACTTGTTGGTATATACTTGATTGTTTCGGGTGAGAAGAAGCTTGCCTTTCTTCCGAGCATCTCCATTTCTGAGAACCCGAAGGCCCAGGTTAATCTCTTGAGCCAGTGAAAAATGGTTTTTTTTTTAATAGATTATGCATACTCCGTGCTTTCATCTGTGAAACTTCCATTATTTTGCATTTCTTGCTTCTTTTAGTTCGGTGTTTTGTGGACATCGTGATATTATATTAGGCATCTGAGGTGCATGGAGTTGTAAGCAGTCGCGGTCATGAAAAAGTTGCTGTTTTTTTTTTTTTACCTCAAAACGAGCTCTTGAGTTTTATTGATTATTTTTTTTTTACCTCAAATTCGTATTTCACCCGTTTTCCCCATTTTTGCCATAATTCCTGAGTTTGGAAGATTTAAAACGCGATTTTGCGGCATAGTTTCCGACTGTTCGCTGTCTCTATACCGAGCGACAGCGAGGTAGCTTCGTCCCATACCTTACTGCCGATCTCCCGCTGCTATAACATTTCTTCTGCGTTCGGACAAATCCATTGATGTAGTTATTAATGCTTCCATTTATAACACTCAATGAGATAAATAGAGAACTGGGATGCATAAAGTCAAATCCAAGTAGTTAGGTTAATTCTAATGATGATGATGGCTATGTGATTCCATTGATGCACTATCCTCCTATCTGAGCTTGTTAAATCCTTACCATTTTTAAGGCCAGACTGAGATAGCTTGCCAAAACCTTTCCTTTTCTTTTTAGTAAGTTTGCCTAGTAAAAGTAATCGCTAGTATTGCTGCAATCAAGCAGGAATACTGCAAGCAAATCAAACACTTTTTTTTTAAACTTCTAATGAATTTATGCTACAATCAAAAACTAAGGCTTCGTTTGGGACGTCTTTTTTACTGTTTCTTAAAACAATTTTTTACTACAAAAGTTGAAATTTTTGTACTTGAAAGGTGCTTTAAGAAGCAGCAAAAAAGCCGTCCCAAATGAAGCCTAGGAATGTTGTAGTTGATTGATGAAATCAGTACTATATCCACTAATCAGAATGTGCTCATAATTTATGGGGAGAAAAAAGAAAGAGATGATAAACCCTTACTATTAGTTAAGTATGTAAATATTAGGCTTTTTAGTAAGTGCTTAAACTTATGAACTCCAAAACCAAGTTATGAGTTATCGTATATTGGCGTATTTGAAAAAAATTGATTGTAACTTGGTCTGTGTTACAATGAGATTTTCCATTGCATGAAGGATTAACGTCTGCTTATGGTGAAGAATAATTAATTATATGATTTGTTCATGTTGGCATCATTTAATTGAGTTTTCAATACCCCGACGTGAACAATTATAAAATGATTAAACATTTGTGTCACTTTTTGCCAAAAAATAAATAGCAATATATCCTTGAGGTATTAAATTCAAAAGCAAGAAGTTAATTTTTGGGGGCAGATGAGTTACCAAAAGTTAACTTTATTCTAGAAGAGGAAGTTGAAGATCAAGCTACTACAGTTCCATTAAGCCCTAGTAAATGATCAAGTAATGATGACGACATGATAACTCGATGCAATAGCGAAAAGGCATACAAGGATATGTTGAACAACTTATTGAATCAACTTGATGATAAAGTTGAAAAAACTATAGAAAACATTTATAAAATATGCCCATTTACTATAATAGAACGGCTCGCTAAGCTCGGGGGCAAGGCAATTATTGTGGTACATGAAGCTCTGAGTGAAAACAATGAGAACATGATAACATTGATGACTTGTGATGGTTTACTGATCTATACATGGATTGAGTACATTCTAACTCTTCATTCTAAGTTTTGTGCTTGTACAGCATGGTTGCCTAAGCTGTTACATTCGAGCTTGTTCTGCTTATACTATTTTTACCTTTCATATACTTTAATTTTAGCTTTTATGAGTAATCTTTCATTCAGAAATGGTGAACTTTTGATTTTTGAACATATACCTCTTTCTGAAATTTGAGTGCAGAATTAATTCTTTCGTTTTGTTAATACTTTCTCTGTTTTGCATGGTTAGTGATGTCTAACTATCTTCGAGGTGTCTTTCCTGATGAATTTTGCAAATTTGTCGAGGGACATATTGCGTTACATATTGAGTTGACCAATGCGATAAGGCAATATATTATCTCTCTTATGGATGGCAGTAGTTCATCAGATGACGAGTCAAGTATTCCAAGCCAGTATTAATTCTTTCGTTTTGTTAATACTTAATCTGTTTTGCATGGTTAGTGATGGCTAACTATCTTCGAGGTGTCTTTCCTGATGAATTTTGCAAATTTGTCGAGGGACATTGCGTTACATATTGAGTTGAACAATGCGATAAGGAAATATATTATCTCTCTTATGGATGGCAGTAGTTCATCAGATGACGAGTCAAGTATTCCAAGACCTATGTTCAATAGAGCATACACTGGGCAACAATATGTAGCTAATCTTCTTTCTGGGCATCCATTGCATTCATATGATTGTTTTAGGCTTCCATCTGAGGCATTCCATCAATTGAAAGAGTTGTTAGTCAGCCGAGGTTTGCTACAGGATACGATGTACATGTTAGCAGATGAACAGTTGGCCATATTCCTAAGAGGGATCGCGTATGCACAAACTTACAGACAGTTGTGTGAGTTCTTCCAGCATTCCCTTGAAACAGTTAGTCGGTACTTCAAGATAGTGTTGCGTGCAATAGTTTCATTATCTGATGAGTTAATTGAATTTCCAACCACAGAGGTAGAATGCCATCCCTTTCTACGTTCAAACACTCAGTTCTACCCATTCTTTCAAAATGCAATTGGAGCCATAGATGGGATCCACATTCCCGCAGTTGTTAGTAAACGATTGCATAATCGATACCGCAATAAGAAAGGGTCCACTTCTCAAAATGTAATGGCCGCTGTCTCATTTGATAGGCAATTTGTCTACGTTGGGTCCGGTTGGGAAGGTTGTGCGACTGACATGAGGGTCTTGCAATGGGCAATGGAGGAGGGGGGCTTCAAAGTGCCAGTTGGTAAATACTTCTTGGTTGATTATGGATATGCAAACACAGATAAGCTCATTGCACCATTTAGAGGATATCGATATCATTTCAGTGACTACCATGCAGAAACATCTTGTAGGTACTCTATTAAGCAGGAGCTATATAATCATCGTCATTCACAATTACGTAATGTGGTGAAGATGACATTTGGTATATGGAAAGAGAGATTCAAAGTGTTAACTCACATGCCACAATTTCCTTTAACAATTCAGGCAGACATTGTGCTCGCTTGTGCAGTTTTGCACAATTTCATTGGACGCTATCATGGGCACGATATGTACTTCAACATGTTACAAACTGAAATGCATCATAACAGTGATCATGATTTGGGTGATGTTCAAGTCAATGATGAAGACCTAGATATGTACGGAAGAATTGGAGAGAGAATACAAGGTGACTCCTTGAGGCATTCAATCATGACAAATTTGTGGGAAGCACATGCAAGCCTTTATTTTATTAAGGAGAAAATTATTAAATTTCTCATAGATTAAGTATTGATATAATATTCCACTCACAGGCAACAAGTCAACGACGTCGTTCAATTTGATAGTTTGCAATGCTTGGATCAACACGAAGAAAAGAATGCTTATTTATCTATAGATTTCATTAGTAACATGCAATGCTTGGACCATCACAAAGAAAACAATGTTTATTTATCTGTAGTTTTCATCTATCATGTTTGATATTGTTAACACTTTTCAGATCTTGAGTTGATGTATTCGTAGAAACTCATTGTTTAACATATTTTTTGCCAAAGAGTTTTCAGAATTTAGTAAATCCAGATTTACTAAATCCTATTTAAGTTAAATCCTTGTTGCATCCAAACAGCCCTGCATAATTCTTATTGGTGATTTTCAAGCTTTTTTAGTGTTGCAGTGGGTCTATATTCTTCGAGCAATGCTTTTCATGTTGATCAAGTTCACACATATTAAACACAAATTCTAATACTGAATATATATTAAACAATAAGAATATGATAAATGAGAAAGCAGTGGGGTATGCAATTTCTTTTCTGTTGAATTTATTGACCTAAGTGGTGTAAAGAGCATTTTACCTAGTCCTATGGTAGGGTTGATTTATATTTGTTTTTTACTTAAAATTTCAATCTTTTGCAACTTGTTTATTTATTGATTTCAATTCAGTGATTATAGAACCTTGCTTTGAGTGGTTTGCTTATTTTCCTTGGCATTAAACTTATTTTTTAGGCTTCTTTTTGTTAAGTTTTTTTTTTAAAAAATATTTTTGTCATGGTTAAGGGGCCTTGTTTTATGGAGGTTTGTCGATTTCAATTACAACATGCTTAGCATTGAGATTTGCATTTTTTGTATGTAGTTATTCTTCATACATTTTTTTTTTTAAAATTTTGGGAGAATATAGAAGTAGATCGCACATAGAAGACTTGGTGATGGAGTAAACTGGTATACAAGGTAAATGAAATTCCTGCCATTGAAGAAGTTAACATATTTGAAGATGATATGGTCATCCAATTTCAGACAACAAAAGGTAAATGAAATTCAGTTATACCTCATTTATTTTGCTAAAGCTCAGTGTCATTTATTTTGGTACTAATTATTCTTCTTTCAGTGCAAGCTTCCATTGCTGCCAATACATGGTTGTTAGTGGCTCTCCTCAAACAAAAAGTACTCCCATGTCTTATGTGAATTTATCAAATATCTATCAACTGAAGTGATATGGTGATCATCGGAAGAATTAGACATGCTTGAAGGATTTCTCAATCCAGGGAACAAAGACACTCAACAAGCTTAAAAGCTTCAAAGATAATAATATTTCATCAATACCTAAACTCTTCTTACATCACACTATATATAATACTCAAGTAGAAATCTAGAGAAATCAAGAATGTTCTAGAATCCTATAACAAATTTGTAAAAAACTATAATCAAATATTCTAAGGAACATCTTAAACTAAAATGCTCCGCATCACGAAGCTTCTCAGCCCTTGATTCATCTGATGTTATAATTATGCATTAATCCACTGCTGCTGTGTCTTTTCTGGACTTCGTGTTTTTTTCTTGAAACTATTGTGTTCTCAGCCATTTTTGCTTACAAAATTTGTTGTTTGTAAACAGAACTTCAAGATTTGCTACCTTCAATTATCAACGATTTGGGTAAGATTCTCAGATCATGGATTCTTTTCCTTTTGGTTTTATTCATTCTTTTAACCTGTTTGAGGGGAAACCTAATTTTCCCACTTGCTAAAATGTTTTACCCAGTTTTTAGCTTTTCTAGTATGCCTCGTTGGCTACATAAAATTAAAATTTTTTATTAGACAGTTGCTTTAAGAAGCAGTAAGAAAGTCATTCCAAACGAACTCTAAAATAAAAAGAAGAGTAAACTAGTGGCATATTATATATGTGAATCCATTGGAATAACATCCTTGAATTTGTAATTTATGTTGCCATGACTTTATTGTTATCGCCTGCAAGTTATGGAATGTGTTTGTTCTTTCCTTTTTTTTTTCACTAGACTTTTATCGTTGTGGATTGTTCTTCGCATTTGAATTGTACAATTATCGGATCCAATAAAATATGCTGATGTTTAACGGAGGACTTTTATTTCTTTTTGTGACTTACAAGACCATGCAAATGATTTTTATCAGTTGAGGGAGTTTGGAGGGTGTTCAAGTTAGCTTTACTTCAAATTTTTAGCTTCCTTTGGAGGTTTTATTTTGCAATATGTCGTATTCTTTTGTTGGCCTTTCTCTAATTTCCTTGGGATTGGACAAATGCCAACGTTAACCTGTCAGCTGGGAATCGAACTATTGGGCCAAGTTTGTATATAAGCAAATCAAACCAAATGAAATGAAACTCAATAATTTACTGTTTGATTATGTACTACAAAAATTCAATAAAGATTGTTTAATAAGTTGAACTTTATGTTACTTATGATTAGAAGTTTGTGTATTATATATTTTATGTTTTGAACAATCAAAATATCTGTGATTGTGGATATTAGTGTATTTTATGTATTATGTTTTGAACTGCTTGCGTATAAAATTTCCTTAGCTGTTGCAAGTACTTGTGGAATTTTGTTTGAATAAAGGGGTGCTATCAATTTTTTTTGCAAACGCTATAGTTTTCCGGTGGTTTAGCCGCCAGAAACTTCGATACCAGACGGGGGATAAAACCACCAGTTATTATATTTGCCGCCGGTAATAACGGGGCGGCAATCTGGCAGTTTAGCTGCCGGAAACACTGGCGATTTTACCAAAAAAACCGCCGGATTGCCGTCGGTAACGACAGACGATTAACCTGCGGTTTGTGCGCTAGAATATTCTGGCGGTTTACCTGCGTTTTTGGCAATAGTAATTTCCGGCTGTTAGAGCCGCCTGAAAACCTTCAGAAATAATTACCGCTAGAAATATACCACCGATTTTAATTTCCTATGCAGTCTACTGGTGTAATTTTTCATAACCGCCGGAAAATTGATGTATTTCGCCGGAAATTGTCGTCGGTGATAGACGATTTTCTTGTAGTGAAGATTTAATAGCAATTGCTTTATGAGTTCCAACCTTCTCTCCACCCTCACACTCAAATTCATATAATCCAAACACAACCTTGGTTTATAATTCCCCCAATCAATTTCTTGTCGCTTTAAACTGATTGTTTCTCCTTTTCAGGTCATGATAATTTAGACAACTTGAAGTGGCTTGCAGAGCAGTTCCAGGAACAAGTGCCGCCTGTTACTGCAACTGGTGCGGTTCTTTTTGAAGCCAATCAGGAAGTGGATGATGATGAAGCTCCAGAGCTTGTGGAGACACAGTTGAGGCATGCGGTGCTGAGACCATAGCAGAAAAATCGTAATAGGTCTTTCAGTAATTGTTGTTTATATCTACGTTACTGCTTTTAAACTATCTGTGGTGGTCCTTTGCGTGATGGTCACATTTTGAGTATCACTGTTTGTCCAATGATTTATGTTTTTCTTGTAATCCATGTGGGAAAGAATCCTTCCTGTCATGTTTTATGAGTTTGAATCTTTCCTGTCATGTTTTTGTGGGCATGGAAGTGATAAAAAAATATTATTTTGTTGGTTGTGAAGTTTGCAAATATTTTAAATAAATCTGCTAAAATTATTTTACATTGCCTAATTATAAACATATTGAGGGTGTTTTGCATTTTTTTTGTTTATTAATTCATTCCAATATTGTGTTGAGGTGTGTTAGATGAGGAGAGCCACTATTTAATTTGCTTTTCCAACCTTTGATTACACATTCTTTCACAAATTCTATTTTGTGGTTGTTTGGTTGAAATTTAGGAGTTATGTAATTATGACTATTTAGTATTGGGGATGAGGAGTAAACACCACAATAAAGAAACAAACAAGAAAGTAAAAACAACGGAAAAATAAAAGGCATTTGGATTTAACGTGAGAAAACCCAAAAAAGAGAAAAAAACTACGATAGCCACTTCGCACTAAAAAATTCACTATGAAATTTGGGAGGAATAAATAAAGATCTCTCTTCTCTCTCACTCTCACTTTCTCTTTTGCCATGCATCATTCTTTTTGTCTACAATACGATGAAATACAAGAGAATGCCAGTTATAACCACCAAGGAATGCAAACTTTGAGAAAAAAACGAGAAAGAAAACTGTCCAATCCGTCTCGTGGAGCAGTGGCGTCAGTTTATGACGCTACAACACTCATGACTCTATTTGATGATGTTGCGGAGCTAAATCTAGGCACTGTGACACTCTACTCTCTGTTGTTCAGCGCTGGGCGCTTGGGAGCACAGGGTTGAGGCGCTAGGGTGCACAACACCGCGGCATTGTACGCTTTTTCTTTTTTTCATTTGCAAAGCACCAGAAATCAAACAGGGGGTGAACCCCCGCACCTCCCAACAAGCACGAGAAACTTTAGGTCTAAGACAACAAAACAACCCAATTGCTTAACACAATAAGATTCCACACATAACAAGAGGTAATTTCTTAATAAATCAAATAATTCATATTACATAAAACACTCAATAATCATTAAACATTACTAATTATAAAATAAGAAACATAAGCTTCATTAGGATGATAATAATACATTATATTCAAAATGATCATTTATTTGACCACCATCAAATCCATCCTTCTCCTATTTTAGTTGACCAAAAGACACCATTTGATATCCCTCCATAACTTTTTTTTTTACTTCTCTATAAAAAAACATATCAACATCCTTAACAATAAAAAAAGTATCAATGTGCTCAGCTCTTTGAATTGAAACCACAAAACTTATCTCATATAAATTGCTTGATTTGCAATAATTATCTATCTACATAATCTTCTTTTAATTTATTTCATTACATAATTTATATCATAAATTTGCAATCATTAACTCTAATGAAACATTTATCGATAACGATTATAACCGCTACAATATTTATGAACAACAATTATTCAAAATCTCAAAAAATTTCAAATTTTGCGGTTACAACTATTTCAACTTCACAATATTGGGATGGTTTAAGAATTCGTTTGGGATGATTTTTTACTGTTTCTCAAAACAACTTTTTAGTACGAAAATTAATTTTTTTGTACTAAAAAGCTGCTTTGAGAAGCAGTAAGAAAGCCGTCTCAAATGAAGCATGAATTGTCGCAAAGCAACAGCTATTTAAAATCTCAAATTTGTCTGTATTATGACAATTAAAGCTGTATCAAAGGCTTGCATCGGTTAAAACTGCTACGATCTAATAATTGTGGTAGTTTAAATTATTACGAAAAGGTATTTAACAGTGATGAAGGTTTTGTTTGAGACATTTTTCTTACTATTTTTTAGAAAGCAGTTTTAGAAAACAACAAAAAAGCTCTCAAACGAAATCGAAAATGCAATAATTAAAAAAAGAAAATGCAAAGAATCATCCCAAGAGTATGATATAAATCAAAACTTAATGAATTAGTCCATAAACTTCAACAATTAATACAAATTATTACAAATAAAATCAAATTAAAAGTATGATGCAAAAGAATGCATTTACAAAAAAAAGAATTTCAATGACAGTTTCAGCTATTTGCTTTAGCAACCTTTGATTACACATTCTTTCACAAATTCTCATTTTGGGTTGTTTGGTTGAAATGTAGGAGTTATGTAATTTTGACTATTTAGTGTTGGGGATGAGGAGTAAACATCGCAATGATGAAACAAGCAAGAAAGTAAAAAAAAAATGGAAAAATAAAGGGCACCAGGATTTAACGTGGAAAAACTCAAAATAGAAAAAAAAATCATGGAGTTACACAACACCAAAAAATCCATATGAAAATTGAGAGAAATAAGTATAGATCTCTCTTCTTTTTAATTTTTTCGTTGCTTCTCTTCTGACATGCACCATATATTTGTCTACAATACAAAGGAATACAAGAGAAAGTCAATTATAACCACCAATGGACGTAATCCTTGAGAAAAATGAGAAAGAAAGCTGTCCAGTCCGTCTCGCAGCACTAGTGTCAGTTTAGGGCACTTTAGCACACAAACATCTATCTGATGACGATGTGGCATCGAATCTAGAGTGCTGTGGCATTTAACTCTTAGTCGTTCAGTGCTGGGACACTCGAGAACACAACGTTGAGCTGCTTGGGTACACAACACCGGGATGTTGTACATGCAGGAAAAAAAAAATTCGGTCGCAAAGCACCATAATCCAAATAGAGGGTAAACCCACAACATCTCCCAACGAGCATGAAAAACTTGAGATTTGAGGCAACAAAACAACCCAATTGATCAGCACAATCAGATTTCACACATAACAATTAGTTGAGCGAAAAATTGAAGTATGTAGTTTAGTTAATTTTGAGTGTATTTGTAATTTGACTAAACTGGGTGAACTTGAAATGCTCGTTGCCATCGACACCATGCATGGCCGCCAACCGCCATTGATGTTGTAGGACCTTAGATTGAAATGAAGAAGTAATTCCTTAAGAAATCAAATAATTCATATTACATAAAACACTCAATAATCATTAAAGATTACTAATTATAAAATAAGAAACATAAGCTTCATTAGAATGATAATACATTTATTTAAAATGATCATTTATACATTATATTCACAATAATAATCATTAAATCATTTTTTTTTCTTTTGTTTTTTTTTTACCACCATCAAATCCATCCTTCTCCAATCTTAGTTGACCTAAAGGGGATATCCCTCCATACCTTTTTTACTTCTCTATAGAAAAAACATATCAACATCCTTAACAATAAAAAAAGAATCAATGTGCTCATCTCTTTGAATTGAAACCACAAAACTTACCTCATATAAATTGCTCGATTTGAGATAATTATCTATCTAAATAATCTCCTTTTAATTTTTTCATTACATAATTTATGTCAGAAATTTACAATCATTAACTCTAATGAAACAATTATCGATAGCGATTATAACCGCTACAATATTTATGAACAACAATTATTCAAAATCTCAAAATTTTTCAAATTTTGCGGTTACAACTATTTCAACTTCACAATATTGGGATGGTTTAAGAATTCGTTTGGGATGATTTTTTACTGTTTCTCAAAACAACTTTTTAGTACGAAAATTAATTTTTTTGTACTAAAAAGCTGCTTTGAGAAGCAGTAAGAAAGCCGTCTCAAATGAAGCATGAATTGTCGCAAAGCAACAGCTATTTAAAATCTCAAATTTGTCTGTATTATGACAATTAAAGCCGTATCAAAGGCTTGCATCGGTTAAAACTGCTACGATCTAATAATTGTGGTAGTTTAAATTATTACAAAAAGGTATTTAACAGTGATGAAGGTTTTGTTTGAGACATTTTTCTTACTATTTTTTAGAAAGCAGTTTTAGAAAACAACAAAAAAGCTCTCAAACGAAATCGAAAATGCAATAATTAAAAAAAGAAAATGCAAAGAATCATCCCAAGAGTATGATATAAATCAAAACTTAATGAATTAGTCCATAAACTTCAACAATTAATACAAATTATTACAAATAAAATCAAATTAGAAGTATGATGCAAAAGAATGCATTTACAAAAAAAAGAATTTCAATGACAGTTTCAGCTCCTTATTAGCTACCATTTTACATAAAAGAATTGCATAATATGCCTATTAAAACTATAATCCAACTTATTAGAGCTAATCACAGATTAACACAGAGATTAATTACTTAATTATTTATTAACATGGAGGCATATCCGGTGGTGGAGGTAACAGTTTTGCTTCAGAGGCTTCGCCATCCTTAACTATCAGCACAGTCTCCATTCCCCAGCTCGCATGGCGATCCAAATGGCAGTGCATGAACCAAACTCCTGATGAAGAAATAGAAAATTAAGCAATTTTTTAAACTAAATACAGAAAATTAAAATTATTCACACATTTGCCCACATACACTATAAAAAAATGGGGTTATATCAAAAAATGGGATTACCGTAGCACAAATTTTGACCTATCCCAGCGGTTTTAACTGCTACTATTTTAACTACATATTCGCTGTAATTGCAACACGCTGCAATAACATTCTGCAGTGGTTCAAGGACCGGCAGGGTAGATATGCATAATTTAGTAGCGGTTATAACCGGTGCAAAGCTCCAGAATGGTGCCAAACCGGTGTTATTTGCATCAGTTAAAACCGGTGCAAAAAGAGATTTTTAAAAGCGGTTCTTAAACCGCTACTAATAACTGGTGCGAAAAATCCAACTTTTTAGTAGTGATATAACATTTACAAATCAAATTTGTTATTGCAAAAAAAAAAAAAATCATATTGTCGCATATGGACGGCGACTTGTCCATGTGGACAGCAAGTTGCAGTCACGTGGCAACGGCTTCGTTTGGGATGACTTTCTTACTGCTTCTTAAAACATCTTTCTAGTATAAAAAATAAAATTTTTGTACTAAAAAATTATTTTAAAAAGCAATAAGAAAGCTGTCCCAAAGAAAACCTAAGTGGTTTTTGCTATAAAGATTTAATCTGCACCATTTTTAATTAAGGTTCTTTTGGGAAAGGTTTCTTAGTGCTTTTTAGTATAAAAATCTTTTAAACAAAAAATTTTATATTAAAAAGATAATTTAAAAAGCAATAAAAACCGGTCTCAAATGAGACTTTAATCTAATTATACTTAGGCTTTGCTTGATACGACTTTCTTACAGCTTCTTAAAGCCGTTTTATAGTGCAAAAATTAAATTTTTTGCACTAAATTTAGCCTATCAAGAATTACTAGAATCTCATTATAAACAACTCTTAAATAGTTCTTAAAAAATTTTCTATAATTAATGAATCACTCCTCAGTTCGACGAACAATTATTAGGTCCTCCGATCGGACGTAGCTCTCCGACTGCACGTAGAGCTACGTCCGATCGGAGCTAAAATCGCGCCAAAAAACGAGAAATACCAAGCAAATACCGAGCAATACCAAACAATAACGAGGAATACCATCATGTGAAGACCCAATACCGAGTTATACCGAGCTAAAAAAACTCGGTATTTTTTTATATAACTTGGTATTGCTCGGTATAGCTCGGTATAACTCGGTATTAGTCTTCACAGAGCGGTATTTCTCGTTATTACCAAATAATACCTAGCAATACCAAGCAAATAACGAGTTTTTTGGCGGGATTTTAGTGACCTAATAATTGTTCCAGTTCGACACACTAATATTCACAAAGATCATAATTAAACCAAGTAAAGATTAATTAGCTAGTTAATTAACCATTAACAAACCTGGATTAGTAGCTCTGAAACGCAGAGCCGCCCAGCCGTTCTTCGGCACTCCAACGGTGTTCTCATATGGCGGATCCACCAAATTATAACTCAACGGATCCTTCTCCTCGTCGAAGTTCCCAAATCCCCTTCCGACGACGTAGAAGCTGAAACCATGAAGATGCATCGGATGGTTCTCCCCCGCCAGCAAATTCGTCCCCTGAAACACTATCTCCAAGCTCGTGTTGTACTCCACCACCCTCACCTCCGTCGCCCTCCTCGGAAACAGCAACACCCCCGGCAGATTCTCCCCTGTATAGTTATACTTCGCCGGAGGATCCGCCGGAAAGCCCGTCCCGTACACCAAGCTTATGTTTTTATAGTAGGCCTCGAGTACATCTGTGGTGGGGGTCACAAAGCTTATGTTGTTAAGGCTGGCGGACAGTCGGTCTCCGTTGGGCCCGCCGCAGGTCTTTCCTGGTTCGCAGGTCAGCAGGTTAACCGCCACGGTTATGATCATCCGCTGGTCGACCGCCTGCGGCACGCTGACCGGATGCTCTGCGCTCGCGAGCGAGCGGAGGCTTGTTTCGAACGCTGTTGCTGCTGCGGTGTCGTTGTATTCGGGGAGGGGAGGGAGGAGCGGCTCGGCGTGGTTGGAAGAGTTGACGTATTGGAGAATGGCGGTGGTGGTGGTTTGGTCGAACTTGACGCCGAGGGCGCTGGAGTAGGATTTGGCGGCGATGTAGTGGCGGCCGGGGAAGGAGGCGGTGGTGTGGAGGAGGGCGTCGATGGTTTGGCCGGGGGAGATGAGGATGAGGTTGGTGGAATAGGGTTTGGTGTAGCTGGCGTCTTTGGCGACGACGGTGAGGGAGTGGTTGGCGATGGAGAAGAAGAGTTCGTTGTTGATGGCGGCGTTGATGAGGCGGAGGAGGTAGGTTTTGTTCTGCTCGACGTTGGCGATGAATGTGGATGGTTTGGAGCAGGGGTAGAGGTCGCCGGGCTGGCCGTTAATGGTGTAGGCGTCGGAGATCTGGGGGTCGCTGCCGTTTTGGAGGGCGACGGCGAGGACTTGGCTCACGTTGGCTTTCCACCACTCGCCTGAATATTAATGACCGTTCAGCAAGTTAGGTGAGTTAATCAGGAGAGAAAAATGGCAAGGAATTCCGTAAAACTATTAGAGCCGTTGGATTTGCTTTAAGAGTAGTGCGGTATATAATAATAGTAATTAAAATAAATCTATAAGCTTTGAAATTCTTCATATTCATTTCAAAACTATAAAAGTTCAACATTAGAAGAAATTTAATAAAAATGACACAAATGATTAAATTTATGTTAAGAATGAATTTTAATTTCTTCTAATTATGGTTATTTAACTTATAGTTTTGAATATTTTATATTATCATCTTACTACAAATTATAACAGAAAATATCATATTATAATTTTTATTTCTAAAATGATATAGAAATTGGATGGAAAGATTATATACCCAATATGATCGGAATCTCTTTATCAGGTTTAGGGAATGGGAAGGTGGTGCCTTTCTTCGGGTATACTATGAGAGCCCCATGAACGGTGGCTCTATCCCAATCGCTATGTGCGTGCCACCAGATAGTGCCTTCTTCTTCGCTGAATAAGAGGCGGTACGTAAACTTCGCTCCAGGCTGGATTGGGCATTGTGTTATGTATTCCGGACCATCAGACCACGGGTTTCTCGGTTGGGCCAATCCGTGCCTGATAATAATTATTCAATAAAAATAAATTGTTATTACTCATTATATAATAATATAGTGCTATAAGTTTAACATATATATATAATTAGAAATTAATATTTTTTTTATGGTAATATGAAGGATGTATTAATGTACCAATGAAGGGTGATGTTGTAGTCGCCCTTGTTGTAAACCCTAACGATCAGAGTGTCCCCTTTCTCAGCATATATTGTTGGCCCTGGAAATTGACTATTTACCGTTAGAATCTTCTTTGTTTCACAAAGCCGAGTGTATGATGTCTCCTGAATCTGGAAAAAAAAAAAGTAAAATATTAGTGAATATATATTACATTATTATACTATTTCAAAATGGTGTATTTACGTGGTGTCATAAATATCCATGCATATGATATTATGATACAAGCCAGATAAGCTAATTTGACGAGAACCCCTTAAGTAAAAAGAAGCTCAATTCTTAAACATTAAGCTAGGCCCTAGCTTTTGATGTAATGATTGTAATTTTAATTAAGAAACTCAGCAGTTAAATCTGTTCATCCAAGAGAAATCTTAGGATGGGTGACCTCCTAGAAAGTTACACCAACAACAACAAGACCAAGCTGTTGACCACTATGTTTCGTCACCTACATGAATCATTTTTCTCTATTGTGTCTTGCTAGGAATCAAATTTTCATTTAAATCTAATAAAAAAAGATCATTTCTAATATTTTCTAACCAAGTCTTTGTAGGACTACCTCTAACTTTTTTAACATAAGTCAAATCTAAAGCCTCAACTTTTCTAACCGGGTTATCGGAAGACCTCCGTTTAATGTGACCAATCCATATAAGGCGACTCTCTCTAATCTTATCTTCCGCTGGACCTACTCTAACCTTTTCACGTAGATGACCTCCTGAAAAGTTACACCATCAGGATAAAACAATGAGGTCCTGATGCTAAAACAGACAATATCTCGATAGTTAGAAATTTGGAGTGTTACATTTGGTATGCATGATTAGTGCTAGCTATACAAGCAGGTAATTAGATGAGATTACTTACAATAAAATCATGCTGATAAGTGCCAGCCCATGCCTGACATGCAAACAACCCAAACAGTAAAAGAAAGCCTAGAGATCTCATGTTCTTATCCTTCTAAAGATTAATGAAGAGAGAGAGAGAGAGAGAGAGAGAGAGAGAGAGAGAGAGAGAGAGAGAAGGCTAAAAGGACAATAACTAGGTTGATGATACCTGGAAGGCTTGAGATCGACGTGATTTATATAGCTTATAAATCCTTCGGCATTGGTGTTACGAGATTTGAGAACTTACAAGGAAAAAAATACGAAGGTCAAAGAAGCTGATTCTTCCTTCGTTCTCCTTCCAGATTACAAACGTGCCTATTCTCCACGCGTCCGTGCCGCCATTATCGGTCAATTGAGCTCGTGTTATTTTCTTATTTAATCATTTAATTAGTATTGCTGCTAAACTTTTCATGACAAATATCTGCTTTAGATAAATAAATTCTATATATAAATCCACTATTTACTATTGAAAATATTAAATGTATATAAATTTAGATGGGAGATATGGCCCAAAATATGGCAATTACTTCTGACTTTATGTATCAAGATTGGTCAAAAGAAGGGATTAAGAGGAAGAATATTCAGCAAGGCAAGCTAGCTATCTTGTTTCCCATTGCTTTGTTATTTTTTTAAATTGTAACAGTTGGTAACATGGAAAAGTCTTCTATGGCTTGCAGCTAACTCTTGATTAGTTATGTTCTTCAAAGAAAATGTTGAACAATTGATGAGTATGACTCTCATCTATGATGCATTGATATTTCGTAATGATGAAGTGTGTTGTATCGGATAAATGCGTGTCCGACACGCCGTGTTAGTTAGATATATGTAGGACGTATGTACTTGTTGTATGTTCATACGTTTGACACGTATCAGACACAAAATTTACAAGTCTAATTAAAAGACTAGAAAAAGTTAACATACGCGTTTGTCGTGAATAATAATTTTAACTTTAAAACTCATCTCTTTTATTTTAAAATATGTTACTTACAAAAATAATTGATATCTACTTAACAACAATTTTATTTTCTTTATTTTGTTGTATTTTAGTATGATGTTCTATAATATTTTTTTTATTATTTTTTTAACAAAATAATCATATATATATAATTCAAAGTAGAAAAAACAAATATTAAATATGATGATTTGATAAAAATTCCATCACAATTTCCATACTAAAGTAAGCCATTGGGAGAGCACATAGAACAACCTAAATAAGAGCACAACAAGTTTGTTTTGACCAAAAACATGCCTTCCATTGCACATAATTCATACTCATATATACGACCTTTTATACTCAGGTCATGACATTTTCGATATTGTTGTGTCCATCTCATTGAAATGTTTATTTCGATTATAAACTTGCTAAAACTAGAGTCTAGGTAGTCCGACATTTCATGCTGAAAGTTTCTGCTTCAAATACTCGCATCAAGATTTATGTCCGATCAAATGAATTTTCCAGTGGTTCATCGAAAATTATAAAGACTAGAAAATAACAAATTCTTCTAAGAAAATCCCTAGTTTTCACAGGTCAAAAAAGCAACTTAACATATTCAATCCATCAAAGTAACCAATCCCCTCTTTCTTTTCAATCAAAATGTTTGGTTAGCCATTTGCAATCTTAGGCTTCGTTTGGGATAACTTTCTTTCTGCTTCTTAAAGCAGTTTTTTAGTATAAAAATTTTAATTTTGTACTAAATAGCTACTTCAAGAAGCTGTAAAAAAGCCATCCCAAACGAAATCTTAATCTTGATAACATGAAAAAGTCTTCTACAGCTGGAAAGCCAACACAGCAAAGGACTTTGATCACTCGTGATAACGTAGGATTATGGAAGAAAAATGTTGAATAGATACATCACACGTGTGAAAGTCTCATAAACTTGACGCATATAGGCTTTTTGGGCTGGGTGGAAGAAGAAACCAAATTTGCCAGAGCTATATATAATCCTGCAGATAAATATGACTAATTCAGAAGTAAAATGTTTGATGATTTCGTAAAAGTCTCATATAATATGTGAAGTCAGATTTCAGTAGCAGACAATCAGTTTGTTTTGACCAAATAAAAGCCAAGGCCAGATGAAACACTACAACATTGCTGTTAAATATTGATGGAAAAAATTGTAACAAAGAACAAAAAAAGTCATCCCTATGGATGATTGATAAGCAATGATGAAGGTCGGGCGATGTCGGGAGGACGAACTCAATGCTTCTCTTTATAGGAAAGGAGATCGATCGGGCGAATGAGAAAGGTGATGATGAATGTTGATAATTGATTAGCTTGAGGTTGTGGCAATGGTGAGCATTGACGTTGGTGAAAGACCAATGTTGGTTGATGGTTAGCGCCTAGTGCTGATAGTTTGAACTTCTGGAATTCTGTAAATTTATGAAGTATCGCCATAAAAATCCAGTTTTGGAGATCCCTTTATATAATGGTAGAAGTAGATCTTAAAAAAAAATTACGTCACTAAAGGAAAAAAATGATGATAGACATAGTTGCAACCAATTGGTGATTTCACCAGTGCAATTTACGTCGGAGGTTTTGCCGGTGATTTCTGATGGAACATGCGACGAAATATTAAAAAAACCGGCGAATTATTCAAAAAACCGGCGAATTATTCAGCGGAATATGTGCCGGTGAGTTAGCGGCGGAAAATACGGTAGAAAATCCGCCGTAAACTACAGACGAAATATCCGCCGGTTTGTCCGCAGCTTTTATCAGCACATTTTAATCCGCCGGGAAGTCCGACAGTAATCAAAGATTTTCCTGTAGTGCAATTAGAGCGTCTCAAAACTAGCTGCAAAAATATTTGTCATATAATATTTTTGGCAGATTTAAGTGATCTCTCTCGACTCTTGTGATAATTATAAAAAACTTAGCACAAAGAGATTGGTTCAACTTGGTTTCGAGGCGATTGTTTGCAATTGGTACTAGTCATAATATCGATCGTAAAAGGCATGAGATAGAGCCTAGGGTAGCCCCGACTATGTTCAGTGTGTGAAATTGAGTCACCACTATGGAGAAATTGCCCATGACCTTACAATTAAATTCCAATTTGGTTTATTTTGTTTCCTTTTTACAATAGTTATGGCTGCTCACCCTATTCATAATGGGCAGTTGCCAGACTTTGAAATATTCATAAACAAAGTTTTAAACTAATCAAATGCAATACCTATAGTATTTCAATGGGACTAAGTTTGATGTAGAGTATCTCAAGAGCACTCGTAAAAAAATATATTATAAGAAGATTAATGAAATGTAATTTTAAATTAATGTTTACATGAATGATAAAAAAAAGAGTAAATTATATTTCTCTTAGATTGTCATATATATAATTTAAAAATTTCCAAATTAACATGAGGCAAATCCTCCCCCTAATTTTATTGATTCCAAAGTATTGGATGAAACTTTAAATCAATTGATTCAAAAGGTGGTGTTTGAATATGTGCCAACTTCAAGAAAAGGAATATTTTTTTTTTTTGGGACATTTAGGCCATTTAAGGCAAACTCACACACACAACGCATACACATAGACTCGAATCCTGAACCTCTTAGTTGAAAGCCAAAGCTCTCAACCAATAGGCCAAGGAGAGTTGTGTAGAAAAGGAATATAGAGAACTGAATTTTGTTGGTTTTATGTCTAACCTAATTAGGTGTATATGTTACCCATTCCAAAATAGGCAAACAACTAAGTTATATGAGGTCATGGTTGGCATAGCCATGTATATATGATACCTAAACCAAGTAAACTAGATAAATTTAGATATGAATGTGGTTGATTATGCCCCTTTGGTTGAGAATGTGGTTGGTAATATGCCTCTCTCACTATAGGAAAATCCCTCATTAATGGTGGTAATTTCCGGCAGTTTAGAAAATTTTCTGGTGCTTTGTAAAATTTTCAACGGTAAATCGCCGGAATAAACCGTGTAGGAAATGAAAACCGGCGGCCATTTTCCGGCGATTAAAACAGCCATGAATTAATGAACCCAAAACCACGAATAAACCGCCAGTAAATTCTGGCGCCAAAACCGTCAGGGGCCGCTAGTTTATTACCAGCAGTAAAAAACCACCGGTATATCCGACAGTCATGCCGTCGGTTATTACCAGAAGCAAAATGAAAAAAATTGGTGGCAACTAAAAGCCGTCCGGTATTGAAGTTTCCGGCTTCCAAACCACCAGTTAGCTGTCGGAAACCTGTAGCATTTACCAAAAAAAATTTTTTTTTAACAACCCCCCTCTATTTACCTCAATTTCCACAATTAACTTAACACAAAAAAACATATATAAAAATTTTTATTTCCAAAATCAGCCTAACAGCTTATATGAAGTAGCAATACACAATCAACAGATATATTTACACAATCCATAATAACCAGAAACAATTCTTTAAACAAATAACATTGCATATATTCCACAATCAATATAATATGTGAAATACACAGTGAAATGTTCAACTGACCACCGAAAATACCAACGGTTAAGTGCTTAATACGCGCGGTCGAACCGCCGGTTAATAGTGGCAGTCAAATTGCCGGTGGTCAAATGATCGCTAGTAATAAGCGAATTTATTGTAGTGTCTCACATGCTAATGATTTTGTTAATTCTTTTCCTTTGGTTGAAAAATGTATATAAATGACTCCTTTAGTTGGTTATGTCCTCTTTTTGGTGGCAATGATTTAATGCTTTATCATAAATTGATGCCTACTGTTGCTAACAAAAATATATCATTTGCCTCTCCTGATGATACCACATGTTTTGTTAATACTTCTACTGTTTATGAAATCATGGGCATTAGTAATGGGGTGGCTGCAAATACTATTTTAGCTCTTGATGCTTATATTAATGATGCTAGTTTTGTTTATTTTCTTGATTAGGAGACTCAAGTTTGTAATATATTTGACCCTATAGATGTGCCTATTCTCGTTCATGGTGGTTTGGATGTCTCTAATAGGGTGTATATGTTTTCTATATTTTGTTTTCTTATTTCTAATGATGAGACATAAAAATTGGTTGTGGGGAAGCAACAATTAGATTTGCATTTTGCTGATAATACTGTTGAACATTGT